TTATGAGGCTTCGTAGGGCTTAGGAGGCCGCAGGCTATTGACACACCCAAATTGAGTTCGCAGAAACTATAGGGTTTTCGAAGTTGCTATTTTAATGGTAAGTGATTCTTATCAATTTGCACCTTCATTGCATTGCATGTAGCATTTTGTTTAAGTGAGCGAAATGTCAAGGTCATTGACCATCGCTGTTTTCAATTTTTTGCCGTGTAAGGCATTTGAAACCCGACTGTACCTGATTGTATGCCTGTCATATGACATTATGTATGCCTCTCCCTCCCTCTCTTCCCCTATTACAGGTACCACGGACGAGGCACCACGGACCCTGGACAGGGAAGAGTATCCCGCTTGTACACCCCCCTAACTGACCTTGACCCAACCTTGTACACCCCCTTCCTTCCGGTTTCGGTTCGGGTTAATACACGTGCGTTGTTGCTACACTCCGGTCTTCTTCCCTGTACCACCCGACCTGTGCGCATGTGTGCTGTGTATACTGTGTGGATTCATTAATACCAGCCCGTATATCTGCATATTTCAGAACTGACGTGTGCCGTCGCTACATCCTGTCGAACGTCGAATACCGCTGACTTCCTGACATCCCACGCTACAGCCGGTTTACGCGACTGTAGTATACAGTGTCTGTCATTTTGCTTGATTCATATGTAAGTATTGGTGATGTACAACTTGGCTTACTGGGCTCTGGCTCACGAGCTTTGTTTCTGTTTTCCATCCACAGAAATTGTCGTGAACACCTGCCTTCGGAGAATCACTGTCCCCTGGTGCTTCCATAGCATGCATATTACACGACACAAAACACTAAATCGCACCTTAGCATATTTTGGCGTTCTTCGGTGTTCCTGAAGAATAAAATAATATCTTAAGAGTATTTAATGCAAATGCGACGAATTCCACGGCTTCTGCCTCGTCTTCAAGGATGTCTGCTGCAACGGTAGAAGGCTTTTCCGTACAAAAGTAGCGAATTGCTGCTCTTTTTGGAGTCTATACGGACGAAAACAACGTAATGTTTCGCCTGGTACTCTTTCAAAGTGACGTGAAATGCAGTGAATGAGAAAAAACTTTGACGAGCTAAATTCTCCACAAAATCATCCTCCGCATTCACGTACCCAGCCATAGCAGCCATTTAAAGCATGAATATCGCGGGCCTTGAATATCGTGGGGATTCAGTAGATTTACACAACTTTCAACAAAACTGCGGCCGTTTGGGAAGGTCTCATACGCTCGAAAAATTACCACCAAATGTTAAAACTTTATGTTAAAGTTTCCCTCCTTCGAACCACGGTTTCAGATAAATTTTGGGTGTGCGTCTATCCGCCGGCCATTTTGTGCGCCTTAAGTCTCAGAGCTTAGAATGTGGGGCAGAAGTCAAGGCCACACTTGTAATTGGGCCACTTTTGCATTGGGTCACTCGTAAATTAGTCTTAGTTCTTCGTAGAGGCGGTTAGCTGTATCTGTCAAGTGACCTGTGTTGCCAAACTGAGAAAATTGATATTTATCTCGTGGCTAGAAGATCCACGACCACTCCATGGACCAAACGAACTATGATTATTCCGGCATAACTTCGCCAAAAATTTCATCACATAACAGCAACGGAATATAAATGTTTGCAGCTCCCAAAACAAAAAGCAAACGCGCAACAAAAATTCAACGCCACCGTAAAAAGTGACCTTTCAAGGAACTGCGCAATTTCGCACCAACATAAATTCGCTTCTATTGTAAAAACCGGCGGAGGTTTTGTAAGATAAACGCAAATTTCGGTTGCGCCGGGTAGTAGGTGATCATAAAAAAAAGAAAAGTGTATACATTCGACTACCTGAAAAGCCAAAAACCAACTGTTTCTCAGCGACAAATTGGAGAAATTTGGATTTATGTGCTTGCAAGAAAATGAAGTCATATTCAAACGAATTTCAGCACGTGTGGCAGATTACAGGACTTTTGCTGGAATGCATACAAAAAATCTAGAGCTTCAAATAAATCTTGTACTTCAGTGATCGGTGGATTTGAGAAAATTCCATATGCTGGTGGGGACCAGCACGCAGCACAGAAAGGAGCTCTCGTTGGTTGAAATTGTGGGTCCAAAGTTCAACTATATTTCAGTATCAGCTTATGCTCGTTGCTAATGATTTGCCGTTAGCCTACTTGGATTACTCTACCCTTGCCCCTGCATGTACAAAAACTACGGTACATTTGATTTGGAGCTTGAGTGCAGTCTGCGTGCTGAAGAGGCTGGTTATCGGCAACCAGGATTTCACACATCCAACGGCGCTGTCCTGTCTACCCCTTCACCCCCTGACTTTTGTCCATAATTTAACCGTTTTCACCACAATATCTGCTGCTCGATTTTCCAGCGTCCTCATCCTTAGTTATTTGCGTGTGACTGCAGATGGCTCATGTTTGAAAATTTGAGCCAGGGTGTGCAAATTCCCCTCATCTTCACTGACTGAAACCGAAGGAGCTAAGAACAATTACACTTAGGTATCGTGTGATTAAATCCCTGCAGGATATAAAACGAATACCTATCCGACAGAAACGCGTTTCCAGAGACGGGTACATATGTGCTGTCAGATTCGCCAGTCGAACTGATGACGCCACTGTTTGTGTTTTACTACGGAGGTGGAGGTCACGACGAAGTCCGTTATGAAATGGTCCGACCACTGAAGCCTTGCGCTTTTTGAAGTGCATCCTACACACTGGATGTGTGGAAACTAAATTAGAGTGGCTTCAAACGAAATTACGCTCAAATATTTTACTCGCGACGAATATTTGCTCCATTTAGAGTACGTTAATGGACTCGCCGACCACTCTTAAGAAGCGGTCTCATCTGAGGAGAATCCAATGCATTCGCGACACACTCCAAAGGATTGAATAAAGGTGAAACTCTCAGCCTCGGGGTACTGCAGCTGACAGTTCCTTGCAGGTTAAGGAGCACTGGCGGCTGTGGGGAATTGTATGTGCCTCGACAGTTCTGTTAGATTTGACGACATTGTTTGATGAGGAGATTGAAAACCCGAATCTCGTTTGAAATTTGTCGCTTGTGAAGTCAAAAAGGCATACTAATGTGTACCACGGTGTGCCAGGGTTTGATGAGGAGATTGAAAACCCGAATCTCGTTTGAGATTTGTCGCTTGTGAAGTCAAAAAAGCATACTAATGTGTACCACGTGTCGTGTGCCAGGTTACAGTAAGGACCATGTCGTTGTATGGCTGCAAGACATTGCCCCTGTGGAGAGATGACGTGAGGCGGCTTCAGGGTTTTGGACGCCGATGTCTCGCAATCATTACTTGCATCGGATGGTTATTAATTCGAAATTATGTAGTTAGAAAACGGGTATTTGGTTATTCAGCGGGTACTTTAGTCACGAAGAAACACCAACTACTATCATCTGCGGTAGGAAGACTGTGTTGCGCATCCCGAAACCATCTACCAGTGTGATGGTGGATACTACTGATGAGGCATGCGAGTAGTGTGGTTTCTCTTAAGTCCGCCTAACGGAAGGTAGGATTTGTTACGGAATTTGTGGAATCGCTCTGTATCATTCGTTCACATTCACTTGATAGTCAATGAATATCCAGAGAATCTCAAGAAGACGCATATTGGGCTTCCAAAAACTAGGTGCATATGAGAGCCTCTGTCCAATGGTCTGTAACGGTTCAGTTGTTGTTTTCTAATGAACAGCTCCGCAGCGAAGGGGTTTCTTCCTTTCACCAGAGTGAGTGTTATTCCCCATGTCTTCAGAATGGTGCGAACTGCGAGGTGGGCAACGTATGACTTGCTGTGTCACAGATTAGTAGAAGTTCGGGGTTTATTGACGCGAACTGACTTTCCAGACATGTTAGCTGGTGACGTTGCAAGGAATGACTAATAAATGGCCGTGGCATCTGCACTCATTTTATTTTCAGATTGATTGAGTGCTTGAAAGTGTGGCCATTCTGAAATAGAACGATACAGGTAGGCTAACATCACATCCCATCCAAAGTGTCTTCCTTCTTCGTTCTGAGTTTTTTTTAACATAAGTAACGCTCGCAGTTGCATGACAGCGAAACACAAGTGTCAGCAATGATGTTGCCGTCTCTGATGTGACGATTACAACTGCATTTCGCTGTGTTGGCGCGAATGAAAGCAATAGTCCCGGAAAGCAATGAACCCGATATCGAGAGACACGGAGGAAATGCATCTAGTGCATACCGCTGCACATACAGTAGAAAGCACCCCAGTTTCCGTTATTAGTACACCTTGGGCACATGAACAGTCCACAGATGAACTAATCACGCTGCTTTAAATGACCAATACGCACTGAAGACGGGCTAGATTGTCGTTCCAGAAAGTTCTTACATGTTCCCAGTTGGATCTCTCCGGATATGCACTTCTCCTTTGCCAAATTCAAGCCGGAACAGAAGACAAACATGCAATTTCCATAACCAGGAAGTGCTGCTGTCTTCTTAAGTCATCATTCATTCCTCCATTTTATCAGGTTAAGAAACTTACGCCCCATTAAGATCCTTCTCTGGCCATCCAGCTCTCATTCTAGCAGTGGCTTACGTGCCTCCATAAAGAGAGTTATCCCTTCCGACCTCCGCATCACGCTTTATTGAACTAGTACGAATGAACCAAAATCTACCCGCTATGAAACTTCATCGTCCCATAATGTGAGCCACATGTCTTTTCTTTTGATGGTGTTCATTTCAGATGACCCGAAGATCGTACTGAAACAGGAATCGAAGGGGCTATCTAATGCTACCCACTACAGCAAGACATGCCGTCAATGTGAAGTTTTCAACTGATGCACAATTCACAGGCAAATGATTGGTTCCACAGAACGAGGTTTCCAGACGCTAAAAGCCGTGTTACCGCGGGTATCCCCTACTTCACTCGGAACAGAAAAGCTAGACAATAAAGTTATCCCCAATAATGCCTCCAGATGACGGTGTGTTGGAGAGTGACTAATCATACACCCGAAGAAACAATGAATCCATCAGGGTGAGCTGGAAGGCTAATAGGGTACCCCGAGGATCAAAAATGTGGTGCACACGTCCCGGAATAAAGAAGTGAATAAGATCTAGAGCACGAATTCGACTGACCTATTAAAAGCGGGACAGCGGTAGCATACGTGGATAGCATGGTAACGAATCACGAAGATATCAATTGCAGTGTTAGTATGCAGCACAACGAAAACTCAAAACAGAAAGTTAGCGGGGGAAACGTCGAATGAATTGTATAGAGATGTTGAGGAAGCGATTGTGTGTACGAAATACGACAATTAGGAAGCGGTCTGTACAAAGCCACTCCGGATGGGCGGCCATAGTAATCTTGAAGCAGTTTGGGAGAGCGACGTAGTCTCAGTGCAAGCGACTGGAAACTAAGCAATTAAAAGAACGAATTCGGAGACATGATCGTGGTCTACCTGACGGCAGCCTAAACAGATGGAATTTGCGCGAAGATGGATGCTTCAATGAAAAACAAAGAGATGTGGCTGCTAAACCGGTGATAAACACGTGATAGACACGATTCTAGCTGGCACGGGGCTTCGGGGTCAATACAGATAGGAATATCCTTCATTGAGAAAGTATTCAATTAATTTTATGGTAGTTGCGATGTGGGTGGAGCAACGTGAGAAGCAACTATTCGTAGGCGTCATACGGATAGACTGAAACTTGATGGTACCGGGAGTGTGCATTTCCACGACCGCTTGATGAGCTCCGATTGTGGGGACTGTTTTTGGTTGGTTTGGCTGTGTAGAAAAGAAGAAAAACAGATACTATGGAGTGCCCACCACTGGTACCATTCGGTAGGCACATAAGGAAAATAAAACCAAGCAACAAATGGGACAAAAGGTGCTGCAATGGAAGAAGGGGAACAAACTAACATCGGCGATTTCCCTATCTATTGTGTTCCGATGAGACGGCAGAAAACATCCAATTCTATATTAATGGATTCGAACAGCTGTACAGAAAGTCGTCACAATCTTTAACTGTCAATCCATGTAACCCCTCATTTGTTGCTGTCTAAAGCACCGTGTCAAACTATTGTTTACTGGTCTATTCGCCCAGCGGGACGAACCATCACTACCACTCGTGTCACTCGACACCCATGGAACCCCTTATGATATCGCTTCGCCACGAGTCATGCTAGTCACTTCGTTGTATACTGCTACACTTGTACCACTGATGTTGTAAGAACAGTCATATCCGGTAGATTTTGTTGTTACTGTTTATACAGGTCCTCACTCCAACAGCTGTAAGTATATTATCGAACTAAGATTCACTGACTGTGGATTCAGTACGTTCACGAACACCTGATGGGTGGACGACACTATTTCCTTGGTTATGACAACTTCATTGAGCTGACAAACGACGACGAATTCTAGGCTTCTATCAGCGGAATTTCCACACCAGTTTTGCTAGTTGAGCTTGTTAGACTGCGTGTTCTGTACCAGCTTAGGTTGATAAGTTGGATGCAGTAATACTGAATCATGTGCGAATTCTCAGCAGGATGAAACGGTTTACAGCTGAGTAAATGTGCCTCGAGATGCAGAAACGCAGCACGTGATCTAGACGGAATAAATTAGCATATAAATGCGAGCGAGCAATGAAATGCGTTGGCAGGCGACGAAATGTATTTAGGCCAACCTTAAGCATTTTTCAGTTCCCGTAAGGATGCGATTCGAACCAAATGACTGTTCTCTGAAACATTTTGATGTGAGGAGAATGTTAGCGGCTCAGTTGTTCAGTCTGAGACAAAATTATCAAGGCTAACGAATGACTCAACCACCAACTGAACATAACGTATATAGGTCGGATCATTCTTTGCCCGTATGCTTAACAGATCGAGCCTAACTATGATGGCCAGTTGGCAAACACGATGGAGGCAGAGAGCAATCCCGCTTGGTGTGACTAAACTCCAGAGAGATTGAGATGTAGGCACTGTGGTCTTGGAAACAACTGTTACGGGTCAAATATTTAAGGCGCGAACGCGAAAACCCGTCGTTGAAACTCGGACCCGGCAACTAGACCTTTCCTGTCTACTTTTGAACAATTTGGGGATATCTCAGCCCTCGCGCTTCGTTTGGGTGGCATGGCAGTTCCGCATCGAAAGGGTGTTACACCTTAAACAATCATTTATTAATCATTATTACCAGATGAAATCGATCACTTCACTAGTGCCACTGGAAAACGACCATAAAGCAACGACTAGCACAACAGCGACGTCTGGCTAGCCAAGGATATTCGTGGCACGTTTTTGTTGGTCAAGTATGTTGACATGGTCAGTAGCACATACACACAGTTAACACCGCAGGAGTCAACCTCCTCAAGAGTGAGTTATGCGGAGCCACGTTAACTGTCGTAGGAGGGGCACGATTACACATATATTAGCAAGTTATTTACAGGAGGATTGAGAACGAAAAATTCCAAAAGATGGCCCACTGAGGGAGAGAAAAACATGAAAGCGACTAGAGCCAAACTAAGGGGACACACCCCCACAAAAATGAAGGGGTTGAGAAAAACCCATAGCCGACCCACATTGGATGAAGAGAAAGCCACCAAGGTTATGAATACAGGAAAAAAACAAGCCACTAATCAACACAATATGGGGATAAAAGCAACCGGACAATGGTGAATGGAAAATAAGGGAACAAAACCAGGTGACCGTGGATAAAAAAAGGATATCATTTTGATACGTGAAAAATCATTGTTCTAGCATAGCCTAAAATGTTGTATTGACAGCAGAGCAAGATGGGTGATAAATATATAAGGGCGACATCGTAGATTCAGGAGTTTAATCGTAAACGAAAATATAGGAAATTATGTACCTGAATGCTTTACACTTGCTGTGGGACGAGAGAATAGCCTGAATTGAAACAGACAATAAGATATAGAATAAATGGATTGCGTTCGTAGGTAATTCATAACCACCAAAAATGACCATCATCAACACTAACGGTGAATCAGTTCACGTGCAGACATGTTCCCCGAAGGTGCTCCTCAAAGCACCAATCACAAAACATAAAATTCATCAAGACCACTTCAGACTAGAAGGAAACATCAGAAAGTCAAAATTAGAAATTCCCCACTACCCATGAACTGGACAGCCACGAATCAACTAAGATAAGCAAGATATCTCCTGAAAGGGTGGGGTATAAGGCTGATACTGTAGACGCTCATGATCAGTGTTCACTCAACACCCGTAGGTTAACACCAGTAGCCACAACGACGCAAGCATCATATAACTGTCTAGGTTACCGTAATTCGCTTAAGCGATTCCGGTGCTGTCAAATCCAAGGACAAAACAAGTCTGTCAAACCACAGTGAATTAGGCGAGAAGTCACATTCATGTGAAAACAAGCTTGATTCCAGCACTGTGTAGCCGGCAATCACTGTTAGGAATCTGATGGTACTACCAGAATCAAGTCGTTGAAACTGAGATGACTAAACAGCAGAAAAGGTCTTGGTTTGGTGTAGGACTGAGTGTGATAGACCCTCAAAACGTCCGACGCATCACAAGTGCGACGCCCGCGTGTCAGTCCGAAAGATTCACTGAAGTGATTTACTTTGCCAAAAATTGAAAGAAGAAACAAAAGACACATCAGATATATGAAGTAACTAAACGAAACAATGAACAATCCGGTGAACAAAGGTTCAGTAAGAGACACGGATGCCGACGCAGTGATGTACAGCCGCTGGTCTTCGAAGAAAATACAAACTCAACTCATTGGATACGGTAAAAAGGTACCCCGACACCCATGTGCACTCGACTAAGAGAGGTAACCTGATCATTGCTTTTGCACACATTTTCCGGTAACAAATAGTTCGACCACGAAGAGGAACATTCAAATTTACCGAAATTCTCAATGCACATTGGTGAAAAACCACTGTCTGCTTCCCGCACACAAGTCCGCTAGACTGTAGAACCGCAGCTTAGCTCATACTAAATTAGAGGCACGGGCACATACATCCTGTAAGCGAACGAAATGTAGCACAAACTAAGTGCCTAAGGAACAGAATTCGAGGCATATATATGGAAAACATCTGCAACCCCCACTTTTGCAAAAAAAATGTCGCCAAAATGACACCCAACCAATTGCGTGCATGAAACACAATCGTGCCGGAAAAAATCGAGTGGAGCCTGGGAGTGGATTCACAACGATTTCTGGGAAGAAATACAACAGTAGACAACCTCAATGCTGTTGAGTGCAGACACTCAAACAAATGAGCTGAAACCCATTCGCACAACCATATCAAAAGTTTCTTCAATGAAGTGACTTAAGTTAGCTGTCCTAGTGTACTTATGTTGCTATTGCATTGCTCGACATCGGAGTGTAAATATATCACGACCAATCGAAAAGATGGATCCTGGTGCTTGTCGCAACCCCCGATTGATTTACAATTCAGGTGTCAAAATTTTCAAGCAAACAAACGATCATCTGAAGATGAATTGAAGAACTAATAATATAATCAAGTTAGTGTGTCACACTCATAAAGTAAGAGTCACCTGATCCGCTGGTCGTTAATTTCTACTAGTCACAAGCTCAGCCACAGACACTGGGAAAGCTGGTGCACTGTTGATTTGCTGCAACGTTGCTAACGCTCGCCTGCTGCTAATTTTCTTTTTTTAAGAACGGCAACATTTATGAGCAGCTTGACCGCTTATCCCGACCAATCAACCATCCCCCCTCGAGTCGTCGTAATAACTAGACCGTGAATAGAATACGAAAGCGGGCCCAAATATGAGCGGCTCTTAAGGAGCAGACGGTGCTACCGATGATCATTTCTGTAGCGCGTCAAAAGGCGAGAACAGCCACTGGGAGTGTCAAGACGCGGTCTAGCTGGCTAAAGAGCTTCCCGGGTGTGAATGCCAGCTAGCTGACTTTAAAAAATTTTATCAGGTTCTCGTGTTTGGCGAATGCGTGGTCTACTGATTAAGAGTGTAAAATACCGACAGTCAGATCAAGTAATTGTGGTATCTGTGCCCGCCTAATGACGTCCAATAAGTGAAATGCGTTGTCGAACAGGTCCCAAGACATGGTAGGGGTTTTTGAAAAGGCAACCGCGAGCAATCTGATTGTCTAGAGGATTCATCAGTTGGTAGAAATGAAAACCACCATAGTGTCATCAGAATAATGAGGACAATAGGTCAACACTCGAAACAAACATATTCATGTAGCTGACGAAATTTGGGCGTAACACTATTTTCAACACTCGGTTTCACTTCTCAGTCGAAATAAGTGTTGACCCGTAGACTGCGCTTTTCGCACCAAATTGAGAACGTGACGACAGCATATATCAGAGCAAAATATCTGCAGCAAAAAAGCATAACAAGCCATCGGACGCTCAGTCGTGTAAACACGTAGACGACGAATAATCTCAAACAATTGTTCCAGCCACGGTCAGTTGATTTTATGCAACCAAAGCACCAAATGCAGATGCCAAGAGCGAAAAACCGTGGAAAAACTATGGAGTGAACTGCCCCAAGGATTCCAAAAAAGCGGCCTCATTTTCTCTCACTTAAAACGATAGCCAAGCTGGTTCAGCCAAGAAGGCGAACAACCATGCTCGGCTGCGATATCGTTTTCTTCCAGGAAGGTTCCCTATCTGGAGATCGAAAGATGGTCATAAAAGTCTGATGACCAGAAAGTAAACAAATAAATTCCATGAAGCTCTGGTACTCATATACAATATTACACTTGAATATGGGTAGCCATGGGTGGTCTTGGCGGCTAGTGCGCGTACACAAAGTAACACTGAACAAACCCTCACATGGTCGCATCCACCATTCACAAGTTCATCAGTCCCCTATATTCAGAAGAGGAAGACTCCGTAAGTGGCACGATTTTCTGAAGCACATCAAGAATCACCCACACAATAGCAGCGAGTTACTCTGGGGGAAGCTTCTGAGCGTGTGTGTATCCTTGGGTTGTACAGAAAGGTGGTCTTGGGACTGGTAAAAATTCTCCATCAAATGAGAGCACTCCCTCGTGATCCAAAAGCTTAGAACACTAGGCTCGCCACATCCCTTTCACAAACATCTTCGATTTCAATAAAGTGAAAGTCATCAATGATGCGCTAACATTTTTCGTACCCGTTTTTCTGCTGCACACACTTGACAATGACGAAGTAAGATCTTCCACCCAGAGAGAGACATCCGAAAAACAAATGGTAATTAAGCTTTATTTTCGATGCAAAGGGTTCCAAATTCTTGCTGTTGTCGATCCCACGAATCGATTAGGAGACATCCAGCAAACTACGATCCCAAGAGACCTTTCCAGATAAACCGGCACATTCTGCAATTTTGTGCAGTTGAGTTTAAATGGTATGCAAACTGCTAAGCACAAGTAAATTTTTCGTCCCGTTCCTTTAAAAGGCGACTCCGACCTTGTCGTGGTGGTCGGGCTTCTGTGCTGCAATGATCCTGCGGACTATACTGGCTGGAGCTCAGTTCCTAAAGACAGGTAGGCCAACAAGGAGCAGTCAGACGAAGGACGGCGAGTAATCGTATTACTAAGCGGTCTGTAAGTAAAGTCGTACTGTCCTCTGCGATAGAAGTCTGAAGGTAGTAAGGCGTTTCCCCAGGCAACCAGCATGTCCATATTAATGGAAGCAGCGATGCTGCCTTCCTCCAAGGAAGAACGGGTTAGAAAAGGTCGACCCAAAAACCGCACACTCTGATGGCCCAACGGTTGACCGCGACCGCCGGCGCATTGTCCAAAACGAGGCCACTACTTTTAAAACCAAAGAGCCCGGTGCTGCTGAAAAAGGACTCGCTATGCGCAGTCGCATCAGGAGTGAGACAGTAATGCCCTACTCCCTGCGCCCTCGGGTCAGGCCGACCCCCTACAGACAAGTAGGTCAGATTATTGAGTCATTGGCTCCAGGAGGAGTCCCCCAAAAACCCTAACAATCGCTGTCTCGCGAGTCAGAGGCTAGGGGTAGGGTACCCAGACAAAACTCTACATCCTTCCACTGCCTTGTAGGTCAGACTTTTGAGTCAAAGGCTCAAGGTGGAGTACCTCAACCAAACCCCCCTTCTTCGACTTGGGCAACTGGGAAGTATCATTTGCCCTTGCAGCTCTTCGTTCACCAGCCAACCCCCTCATTCCCTCCCAACCCATCGTACAATTCAGTGCAATCAACCCATCTGCCAATCCTTTAGCCAATCCGTGTCTCAACCATCGCCCAGAAAAATAAACCAAAATAATCACCTACTAACCTCAAAAGATCTCATCTACGTTGCAGCCTTCCGTACTCTATGTCAAGTTGGGCAACAGGCATCGCTTGCTGAAATCTCGCTTTCCTTCTCTATCGATGTATGTTGTGTCTGCGAAACACGCATACAAGACCCCACTTCGGTCGTGCTCCTCAAGCCACTTAGGATGAGCCCAGATGTTTCACATTTCGCTCTTTGGGTATCCGGTGATCCCGACGCAAGGGTTATTGGCCTCTACGGCGCGGGAGTTACACTCAGCCCCAAGGCTGAGAGCGCCATATTTGACTGGATCCCAGTAAAGTCACCTTTACGCTGTGCGGTTATCTGGCTGATCTGAGATTAGCGCAGGTCGATGCGGTAAACGGTGTTTGTTTGTCGTAATCGCATACGACCCAACAGACTGCACTTATGAGAATGAGAAGAACGAGTTTTACCAAGATCTGGCACAACTGCTTCGGTCAGCAAAAAGGACGGATATAGTAATCCCAGCGGGTGATATGAATGCCCAAGTCCGGAAGAAGCACAGTTAGGTTGGAGTCGATGCTGACCGTACGGATAATGGACAGCGGCTTCTTCACCTGTGTGCAGATCACCGCTTGTTCCTGGCCGGTACGAACTTCCAACACATACGCACACAGCGAGTTACTTGGAGGCCACCTGCCACAAGACAGTCGTTGACTCCGTTGGACCATATGGCTATCAGTTATCAATATAGAGCCTCAGTTAAGGATTGTCGTTCCTTCTGGAGTAGGCAACCTGCCTCTGATCACGCCATCGTGCGGGCCCGCTTAGCACTTCGCGCACACGAAGGAGAGAAGCTCGATAAGTCTCAGTTGCTAAAGAGTATCGAGCTAATCAGGCTAGAAAACTACGAGAAACACCCGGTCACGTGGACGACGAAGACTGCTTGGAGGATGAATGGGGGCGAGTGAAAGAAGTTATGCTGTGAGCTTTTAAAACTGTTTTTGGTCAACCCATCTGACTCAACTCAATGAGCACAGGATATCTTGGAGATCAACAGATCTCATTGCTGCCAAAAAGGCCATACGAGCAACTAGCGACTATGATGGCGCATACCGGATAATCAGGAGCTTAAAGAATGACGGAGAACGCTGGTGGATGTTGAAAGCCTAGGAAATGGAGAAGGCTTTCGCTGCAGGCAACAGCCGCGCCCTGTTTCAGCTGACCCGATCAAATGGTCAAAAGAAGGCAGATGTCAGTGAGGCAGTATGCGAAAGAGACGGAACAGCAATCCACTCCCTCAATCGCCGTCTTCAGCGGTTGGCTGAGAACTTCAAAGAACAATTCACCTGGTCCCCTTCAACACAGCCGCTGGAAGAAACAAGTGGAACACTGACAACCCACCATCAGCAACCGAAATCCAGCGTGAGATTTCAGTCCTGAAGCTCGACAAGGCACCTGGCCCGGAGGACCTACACCCCGCGCTTTCCAAAGATGGTGGCGAGGTCCTGGTGTACAGTCTGACAACTATACTGCAGAGGATTTGGAACGAAAACGGAATACCAGCCGAATACAGCTCCTCGACCGTCATTTCAGTTCTCAAAAGGGTGCAAGAACGTTATGTGAAAACCATCGACGTATCAGCCTGGTACACTTCGCGTCTAAAGTGCTCTTTGGCATTATTCGGCGCAGGTTGATGAATTATTGGGAGAGACAGATTCGTGAGAATGAAGCTGGATTTCGCACTGGTCGAGGATGCATCGACCAAATCTTTACTTTGAAAAAATTTTTTGAACAGCGCCATTCCTTCAGACGTCCCGTTGGTCGTTTTTCTGGATTTGAAAGCTGCTTTTGATTGTCGATCGTCAGCAACTTGGGCAGTCTGGCGACCAAAGGTGTCCCTTCCAAATTTCTCTCCCTGATGAGGGCACTGTATGCGAACTCCTGTGGGTGCGTACGAGTATACGGGAAGCCCTCAACTGAATTCGCCACGTCCAGTGGTGCAAGATAAAGTTGTTTTCATTCCCTTTCCTCCTTAACTTTGTTATTGATATGCTGCTTGAAATTCTTCTGCTTGCCTCTGAAACCTAGGAAGTCGAAATGCTACCGGGACGTTCCTCCAAAGACAGTGAGTACGCAAACCATATTTTTCTTCTTGATTGAGATCCTTCCCAGATGCGAACGATTTCAAGTAGCCTACATAACTCTGCCGCACGGTTTGGTATGTGCTTCATGCCTGCAAAATGTAGAGTGCTGCTACAATATTGAGTTGGGTCAGACCCAAACCTCACGTTTACAGGCGAGCCAGTCGACGTGGTCGATAAATTTGTTTACCTGGACAGTTGTGTATTCTCCGATGGACTGGCGAGAAATGAGATTAATTCTCGAATCGGGCAGGTCAGGACAGCTTTTGCCAACTTCCGACAACTGTGACGCCGATGTGATGTGGGCTTGTCTGTCAAGGGAAGAGGTCACACTGCGTCGGTGCGATCCATACTGCTGTCTGGATCAGAGACGTGGTCTCTACGCGCAAACATACGGAAGATGTTGGTGTTTGCCCATCAGTGCCTTCGAAGCATTGACTACGTCTGATGGAAAAATTGGATTAGCACTGCTGAGGTACGCCGAATGGTCTTAGGAAGAAGGAACTCTCCCGAGATGGATGGAGTACTCACGTTTCATAGGTTACGCTGGTTGGGACATGTACTCCGCATACTAGGGGACAATTTGCCTAGCAAAGCTCCTTCCTTCAAGCTATGTGCTGAGTGGAAGCGACCGACAGGTGGACAGTGTACGACCAGGCAATGAAGACACTAACCAGTAAACTTAGTCGGGTGGGTAACTGCCACCTCCTTGGATGAGGACCTCTAGACTCAAATCACCAGTGGTTAATGACGTTCGCGGAAATGACCAAATCGCGCAGTCAGTGGCGCTCGTGCTTTAAAGCTATCACCTTTGATGAGTGGCTACCCAGTTTCCCAACAAAATGAACATGTCATCGCTTCCCAGGCTTGCCTGAATGCCCCACACCCCCGTTACCGGTGATCGAAACTGTAGCAGCTGGAACCAATGTGCATATGTTGCATGGCTTATAGCTGATCATTTGAATTGAGTTTAAAAACGATGACCACAGTCATTATGCGACAGTGGCACATGCACTTGATATCAACACTTAATCATATTAGAATGAAACAGCAAAAGTTCATAAAACGATCCCGTCGGAATACCCGAGGGTCGGAAGTCAACCACCAGATTACAAATACGTGGCTCCATTCACTCCCATTCGAACATTCTGTGGTACGACCTGCTTTTGTCTTCATGAAGTTTGGGAAGGATGGAAATACAAGCAGACATGAGCAGTGCAGGTTCAAATCTAACATAGTTACTAGACCATTCAACATACGCGTAAAGAGCTAAATGTAGTTTGATGGCGACACCTGATATTCGTATCAAAGAATAAGTCCAAACAAGTAACCAAATATAGCTTACAAGCATGTAAGACTAGCTCGCTCGCCTCTTACTCTCCAACGCGGATGCTTCCGGTTTAGAGAAGCATGCAGTGTCCGGGCACAGTGGTGCTGAAGGCGGAAGACTCTCCGTTGAATTCAAGCCAATCCAAAAATTTCCAACACGCAAACAGACTTTTGAAAGTCAAACAATTCGACGGAGAACATCATTACAGCAGGAAACAGGGCTCAACAACCTAGGTCATACGTGTAGGCACAAACAAAATAACAACAATCCTCGACAGGCACGAGTGATGAAAGGTCGAATTTGATAAGAGGGACAAATGAGACAAGGTAATAATCGCGTTTGGAAGATCGATTAAATTACCTTTGTGTTTCCGCAACTTGTTTCGTGGTTTCCTGACAAACAATAAAACCGAAAAATTGAGTTAAGGTACCCTGTTTAAAACCAGAGTGCGAAACAACAATATGATAACGAAGGAAAATGTGAATAATAATAGGAAGGCGGTAGACACGGTGCAACCCAACGATTCCGGCAGATGAGATGAGTGGTTCCGTGTAGGTGCAGTGACAGTTCACACGGGGATCACCACCAGATAACAGATAAGACACTAGAAGGTTGTCCGGCTAAGTCTAGCACCATCATAGGATATGTGGAAGGCAGCGTTGAACGTTACCGTTGCTTGTTGACTTTCAGAAAACAACTTTATTTGGGAGGACCGAAGTTGGTTTTCGGCTATGACAAGACACGGTAAGATGAAAGACAAAATGAAAATTAGACACAAAACAGAATTGCATCTCGATACAGGAGCAGTGACCCGAGGGTCTCAAAACATGCTTTGCGTCAGCCTAACTGGCGGGAGCCTGTGGGTAACCAAACATGTATCGCACACTGGAGACAATAAACATGCGGCTGACATACGGATTGTGAGAATGTTTCGGCTTGTCTGAAGCGCAGCATTTTTCGCTTAGTTTACAACCATAATTCTAGCTGCACTCTCAAGGTGATCATTTTTATTGCTTTACTAATCGTAACCTGTATGGTACGGACAAAGAATGGTGGTCGTAACTACTGAGGCTCATCAGTCACTGCAATGAGCAGGCCGGTCCAAAGTAGTAGAAAGTGCTGGATAGAGATAAAAGTGATGCATGGGTACCTAAAATTTTTCGTGTTGTATGGCGGGGTGCGATAGTATCGGTTTTGTGTTGGATCAATAATTCGTTACGGACACAAACGGTCGAACAAAGCTTCATCTAGCCAGTAGGCGTACTTCGAAAGTTCACACTAATGAAACGAAAGCGAAATTTGAACTGTTTCCTGAAGACACTAGATAGTAAATCAGTGGCCTAATGAACTGAGAAGAGCACTGTATATGAATGGATAAGAGAACCACATGAGTCCCAAAGGCAACCACAGTGCCAACCGTTAGAGAACCGGTCAATGCAAGCCCGAAATTCACCTTGCGATTCACGGACTGTTCGGTTACCAGTGAAACCCACAAACCTGCTAGACCCAGTGCTATGGTTTGAAGTCCGTGTATGATGCATTCTATTTCTGGCCCTAATTCGGTATCCAGCATCATGGAGTTCTATTTTTCGTTCCAAATCCAAATTTGCGTACAAATGAGAGTATTTATCGAGGAAAAACTATAATTAATTTGCAAATAAGAATCTGAAACGAAACAGAAATATCGATCAGGTTGGTGCACCACAAAAAGGACATTCGGTTGAGTACTCCAGCTGCGTATAACCGATGTGCCGATTCACGGACACGAAAGAACAAGGCGTGTGTGTTTGCGTAGGCCGTAGCGGTCCCAGAACCGAAGTTAGATCTAGATGCTAGCCGTTATATGCAAATAACGATGGTAGGACAACAACAACAACAGTGTTGATGTGAACATCGTCTCGTCCATAAGGGTGATCGGCAGAGACCAAAATGTCGCAATTAGGGAGAGGCTTATGGTGGACGGCTGGAAAGGATGTTGGTTTAAAATCGATGCTACAAGTCTGATAGACAGACAGAATGAGATACAGGCGAATCAGGAAGCAATTAGTGCCCGATGCCGTTCCCGGTCAAACCGAGACCAATAACGGATAAGCAGGAAGAGATGAAACCAAGGCCTGGTTCAACAACATATCTGCCCAAGCAGATAGCGTAGTGCTTAATAAACGGAACAGCTTCCAGGGAAACACAGTGTGGAAATGGTAAGGAAAGAGAGTTAGGAGCGGTTAAACATTGATTAAGAATCAGGAAGTGTTGAAGCGTTTGACACCGATGATATATTAATTTTCAGGCAGGTATATACGGACTATTGATAACAGTGGCGAACTCTCGCTGAAAATGTGCGATATAGCCGTGCCTGTCTACCTCATATATAGTCGCCACGGAGTGCACTAAAATGTCTTCGATTACCAAGTCACTTGATACACTAGAGATTGATCAAAGAAAACCTGAAGAGAAAGAAGACTTACTGAGATACACCTTGAGATTCATTGGACGGACGCATGTAAAACCCACGATAGGAGATATAATCACTGCAAATAAATTAAAAAACGGATTAAACTGGTGAGCTGCGAAGTAAACTAGTGATTGCGACCACTAATCGCACATTCAGAAGACCTATGAGTCGGACCACTTAAGAATGCAGTCAGTAACAACACTGAAAATCACAGGACAAACCCGTGCAAACGAGGAGAACCAGTGACTTGTTAGGAGCCTTATAGATTTAACAATCTAGTGGATAGACTATAAGGAACTAAATACATGAACTACAAATGACAGGCGACCCTTGAGAAGTCACCAAAACTGAACTGTTAAACGCATCGTAATGCACCATTTAAAAAGGTTGGCACATGTCGATCAGTATGCGAGATGCACGGCCAACAAGAGAGTGTCAAACCGAGACCAGCCTGTACCAAATGAGGAGTTAAGGTGGCAGACTGAGGTCAACGTAACGGGACCATTTGCTGACAAGTTGAAACGTACATCACATTCACGCACCCTGTTTACAGGGACGCAAACAGCGACGGATAAATGCTGCACGTGGCAGGGCACACGTGGCGAGCTATTTGAAACAAAACAGGCAAGTACTTGGCAACATGATGGAAACGCGCGACGGCTGGAAAAACGGATCGTTCGAATCGAAGCAATGGGTGGTTGTCTGCAACAAATCGTGCTGATATGGTCTGTCGAAAAGTGTCCGCGAACGGAGACCCATAAGTGCAACTCCAGTTTCGATACCAGCAGCCGTTCAAACCCGGGAGACCATCATCGATCCCTTACAGGATAAAATGAATTCTTCCAAAATTGAGGTGACCATAAGGTGAAGAGCAAACTGGTTTGAAATCAAACGAATGAGGTCGCTTCATACGCGAACAACACGTGTGAAGCAATGGTCCCAAAACCATTCTGACACACCCAAAACGACAACCTCACCTAAATTCCCCAGCAGATTGTTGTGCACCAACCAAAAAACAATCTTTGATTCTGAAATGAATGGCCACAGAAGACTCTGAATGTGTCACATGAGCCGGAAAATCGCTCGTTGATCCACAACAAATGGTTCTACTAATGATGCCTCGGTGCGCTGTTACCTATCCGTTGCACATGTGAAAGATGTTCAGCAGACTAAATTTCTAGTAAGAGTAATGCTCAGGATCAGCGGTTGACAAACGAAAGTAGAAAATCAATGAGAGAACAGTAAACACAGAGAGAAATGAAAAGGACGGACGGATGATAAAACTCACGGTTCTTCATAATCCGAACTGTACTTTTCCGTCTTTCGATATAAACCGGCCAGCTTGACGGCGAAAATGATTAGTGGAATGAAGAGCCACAGCGTGAGGCCTAAACCTGCCCAAAAAGCATTCTGTATAAGGAAAAAAAGACAGAACATAAAACGGTTAGATCGTCCAGTAGTAATAAAAGGGTAATTGATGTGGACCATCTACTCCCATAACTAGACAGTTGCACTCATACTCGGAGCGTTCATAGTGGTACAATGCCACAGTCAACGCAACACACCAAGCACCCACACATTCTTACGAGTATTGTGATGTCACTTACTGCACAAGGATAGCGCAAGTAAAAACCCTAGTAATTACAGGACTATGAAATCTCATGGTGAAAAACGAGCATTTCCGAAGACCTCCGATAACATTTACCCACGAGGTCAGTGCTAACTTCACTGCTAGCCATCAAGCTCCAGCAGCAGCAGCAGCACTCAAAAGCCCCTATGAAGCAAATTCAGTTCCGAACAAAAGCCACCTGTTACACGGTGAGCAGGAAACAGCTGAAAATAGGAAAAGCGTCGGTGACGAGAGAAAGTGATCTTCTAACAGAGATCATCTACTGAATCTGGAACAAGTAGCTCCGCTTGAAGCAGGAAATTCTTATTCGAAAGGACCGACCAAATAGTTAGTTTCACATGGGACCTGAATGGCTCTTAACTGAGACAGTTACTTACGAGCAAGCCATCGTTTGTCGATACTGCTAATCACTCACTGCCTAATCCCGTCCAAATTGTTATCCTCACACAATAGGCAATAGATGTGCAATGATACTGGAGATTTTACCACCAAACTGGTTCGCGGAATCTCACCAATCAAAGCACTCTGATAGCTCGACCCTCGGGCCGTTTGATTAGTAGTCTTCAGATTTGTCGCCATGTAAAGAACATATTTCATGATAAAGTAGCAAATATGAGTTTCCTGGGAAACCAGTGTTGCCAGTTAGACCATTCAGTAATGGGAGGACCGAATAAACATGCATGTTCGAAAACTCAATCACGTACTGTTTTGAACAAAGGGAACAAACAGTTACGAACTTTTAGCATTCCCTTAATCATACTACTGTGGTCAAGATCGACGAAAGTGGAAGTTTGTACTGAAACCCGCCATCAGTTGCAGTGATCAAAATAGCCATTCAATGTATTTTCTGCGTTGTATGAAACTGACTGTGGCATGAATCCTGGGTAAGTAGGTGCAACAGACCATACAATAACCAAACCACTGGGTTACTATGAATGAAAGACGAAGCGGAAACTGAACATCACAGGGGAAGTCGTGACCAAACAGGACAATATTCCACCTGAAAGATGAGCCATGAGGTTTGAAATCATTGAAAAAAAAGTATACGGGACCCACAAGAAAATAGCGCATGAACCAGCAACTCTGGAGAGATTCATAAATTTGAGTTAAATGACCTATTAGGTTGGAACTTCGGGTTGAATGCAGCCTTCAACCTGTTTACTACAGGGAATTGGAAGCTCCGTAACTGCTTATTTAGGTTAAAACTAAGTGGAGTGCAGCACTCTCGCGAACCTCAACAAAATTAGAAGCATAGTGTATTGTCAATCAGACTGGTACAGAAAAACGAGATAAGACGTGGTGACTTGTTAACCAATTAAAGTCAACTGACAGTCGGGTGCGTACGCTGTCGAATCGGACTGTGTTATTTCCCACTAATTGTTTGATAAGCAAGATAACCATTTACGATCACCAGTGGTCGACTTTCCCGATCAGTGTGTGCGTATAGAGTGTCTCGTGTAGTTGGGCCTTGCAATGTCCCTGCAAACCTGAGCACTTGGAGATGCACCTTAGGACTAGAGTAAACCGTATTCTGGCTGGAAATACAGCGACTAAGCAGATCATTTAGAGTTGTAAGAAGCCCTTCAGCTTTTTTAGCTTTGCGGTAAGAAAGCCGAGGTTGTGACCCAGAAGTCTACCTCGTTGGTAATTCATCACAGCTGACAAAGACAACGGCTAAGTTCGGCCTTTCGGAGGTGTTCATCGGCTCACCTCTCCGAAACCTACACAGAAACACAAACTGAAAAATGAGAAACACGCCATCTATCCTCTTTATTTGCCCGACAGTGTGCAAGCCAGCGAGGCAGCTGTATCTCATGAACCTCAAATGAACATATCGAATAAAGTTTTAGAGAATATTTAGACCTTCAAGATGAAAAACGCATAACATATGCAATGAAATTCTCAGTGAAAACAATCAGATGGGAGGCTAAATAAGTGATCCATTATATTTTTGCCAGGATGAACCATCTTAATTTTAAAGCCCACTCGAATCGCTGCATCGGTTTTGGTATGAAGCTTCTGCTAAGCTGTTCCCATCCATCGTAAACTTCAAAGTACAGTAGGGTAAAGTTGACCTCCGCTTACAGAAACATGATTTAATAAATGCGGGATATGACCAAGCTGAAAGGCCGTTGATGAGTAACATAAGGATAGTTGTTAGGCTAACCAAGAACTGCGACACATTAAAACCATGAGAAAAGTGGTTACCGATTGAGAAAAAAAGCACTTAAAAAGGCTTCACTAACCAAAGGCATCAAAGGCATAACACAAACAGCATCCACGCCGCCTTTGACAGCTGAACGAAGAGGCTGGCAGGGGATGTCACGCCAGGTGGCAATTACTGCCAGTTGCAGTTCGTGTTCCAACAAAGGACGTAAATTTTTCAGCCCCACGTCCATGGTCTGGGTGAAAATGGAAAAATGTACACAGTCGTCGATTGTACCGAAGTAATCGGTTGTAAAAGCGATATAAAAGAGGTCAATGAGATTGATGCTTAATGGTTGGAGAAAAGCTATTGGGGTGTGGATGACTCGCTAACCGGTTTCGTGGTGATTGCGGGCTGCGGCACCACAGAGAATTATAGGGTCGGCAGAAGTATTAAGTCTACCAATGCTATCCAACTGGCGTATGTGAACCCTTTGAAAATCCACAAGCCACTTTGCCTCCACGATTGCGCATACAATCAACGCTGACAAATGTTATCTACAGTGAAACCACATTCCCTATGTCTGACGAGATCTTTGAAGACAAGGCCAGAAAAAGACCATGCAATAGTCAGTTTTTCTCAAGTACGGTCAACCCTATACCACACTCGGATTCTTGTTTTCGCAAGCATTCGAAGGAGGAATATCGATTGTAACAATGCAAGTGGTGAGAATGACAGCGTGCGTCACTAGAACTTCCACAAGGGATGTAAGAGAAGTGAGAGTTTGAAAATGCTAAATCCTCGAGATGAGCCCCCCCCCCAACGAATGCGCCTAATGCTAATTAGAACTGACTGCAAAACACACGCAGCAAGTAAAAACCCTGTTTCCTAGGCAGCCGGAGACATGTACATACATGATGACCAAACCAAATCATACAAACAAATAGGAATAGGACAATGCAACGAAGCTGACAAATGAAGGATGTTTGAGCTGCGAGATGATTCAGTGGATCGGCAATAGTACTATTTTGGGGGCGAGATGGCCCAAGTGCTTAGAGCGCGAATTTACTGACCGGGGTGTCCGTGGTTCGAACCCGATCTTTGCCTCTCGACTTCACCTGTCTAGGTGTGTGCAACCTGATAGTATCCCAGCCGTCGTGCTCCTTTCGGGTGGCATGGCAGCTAGGCACCGAAAGGGTGTTACAGCTAAAAGATTTGTTTTTAATTAGTTAATTGAAATTATCACACATCTCAACCAGCAGTTCGAGCGAATCGACTTTGAGGTTCAGCCGAATGTGGGACATAAATATATGGTAAACAGAGCAACTTGGAAAACTTCGTGAATTTTACATCAATATGGATTGTGTGTAATAGTTCTGAACGAGTAGCAGTTAAAGGCGTTTACGAGCAGTAAGGGATCCTTACGTGCACTCTTCGTTTTTCTTCCATCCAATACGAATATTTTTACACCGACATGAAAAGACTCTAGTTAAAACCTCTGGAATAGACACCCCGACAAGGAATGTTACATACCGAGACAGTTCTACTGGTTCCTGTTAGTTTACCGTTTTGAATGGCTTGCTTGTTGTTTGTTCTGACCTTGTCCCAACATTGAACAGGTGATAACCACGCTTGGGGACACATTGTCACATCAAGTATGGCAGAGGCAACTAAACTAGATACGTCAGGTAACCCGCATAACCATGAACAATACAGGCAATCTGGCATGTTCTAAAAAACAGCGCCCGGTACGACGATGGTCAGAATGTGACTGTCGAAATTGGTACAACATAAGAACCATTTAAAGAGGGAATCACCTTAGAAATTGCTCCTATCATACGAAACTGACAACACAAATAATATAAGGTGCGTCAACTACAACAGGAAGACATCGTGAATGAATAAGGGTAAAAACACGGTTGACAACACCAAATAATTCAGGCCCTTTTTAAGAAAGGAAGCAGGAGACAAGGATAACCATCTTCGAAAATAAATTCGGCGAAGAGTTCATATATGATTGGACTTGTAAAATGTGGCAGTCGCGAATTTCCTTTATCCGATAAAGTGTTGAGATGTATTTTATCTAACGAGAACTCGTGAGGCTAAAGCACGCTCAAGCTAACGAGAGGTGGCTGCGCTTAGGAAGTTCACACCAACATTAAGAAAGGTGGAATGAACTCCAAACATGGAGATTAACTCTGGGTGTAACACATTTGTAACGACCATGAGAAATCGGTCACCAGAGCTCTCCCTGAAGCTTTTCAAAAAAGATCGGATGAATTCACTGAAGGCAGGTCAAACGTTTGCGCAATTCGATACTATAAATAAAGTCCATTTTCAACTTTTGTTACTCGGTAGGAGTGACGAGTAGTTCTGGAAATGAGCCCGATAAATGCAACGATCCGACAGGTACGATTGATGTTGCGAGAGGCTCCCTAGTTTGGTGATGGTACCTCAGAGTAAACTACAGAAGCTGTCGTCTTATATAACTGGGGCACGACGATGCGACGTATCAAGAAACGGACGTTCCTACAACAATGAATAAATTGCAGCGACTGGTGGTTGTTATCCGAGACCGATGGAACTTACCAACTATTGTAAAACCACCCTATCGTTCAGCTGTAACACCATTTCGGTGCCTAACTGCCTTGTCACCAGAAGGAACCATGAGGGCTGGGATGCTGCTAGATTACCCAAGCCTATACAGGAGCAGTCAAGATGCTGAAGTCTTCCAGTTCGAGAAGGAACCATGAGGGCTGGGATGCTGCTAGATTACCCAAGCCTATACAGGAGCAGTCAAGATGCTGAAGTCGGACCTTCCAGTTAGTAAATTCGCGCTCTAACCATTGAGCCATTTCGCCATATCACCCACTATTACGGTGAATATCCAACGGGATCTTATACAATGGATGTTCTCTAGAGGGTTTAGACACGGAAAGCAAGTGTCCTTTATCGGTTAATTTTGCTGGGGATAATCAAAATGATTCCATAGAAGAATGAACCCAACGAGACCACGCCAAACTCGTTGGTTGTCAAGGAAGCTTAAGGAGCTATTATTCTAACTTAGTGAAACTAGTCGATCGATAAGATGTAGGAATCGGGAGATGTAGAGACAAGGGAAGAATAAACACCCCTATTCCCCAGAACAGGAGGCAAAATATTGACACTGGAATTTGTCGCTCTTACAGCTGTTTTTTCATAACCAGCATGACTCACGTACACGGCATGGGATTGCCATCAGCCAATCGGGGACAAAACCAAAAGCAACAGACATGGGTGGCATTATCAGTGACAGCCGAAAATGTGTGGCACCGTAAAAGAACGAGGATGAATGGACACATGAACACGTGTGATTCACGCGCATCGAATAAACAATTTCGCGCTTGAAGAAATGATTTGGCTAAAGCACCCGAAGTAGTTGGGCTGAAGGCGACAGGCGAACGACAACGAAAGCTACATACAGATACTTACCAGTTGAACAGATTCTGCCAACTTGCGACTAAACTCAGAGAGTTGCAGTCTGAGTTGCCGCCGTTGACCTGGAATGCTATCGAGTTTGGTGTAAAGATGGCGTGCCTGGGCCCGTGCCTTGTCCAACCGCACAACCTTCTGAACGAGTTCATCTATATGTGGAGTAAGTGCCTCCTAGACAGGATGATGAAAGTGGAAACGGAAGCAGGCGAAAATCAGAACATGGAGGAAGATGCTGTATGAACTAAAAAATGAATGGAATGAGTCAGTAACACTTGATTCAGATTCGCTTGATCAACTTTGTACTATTTCACTGATGAGCTTTAGAGGCACAAAAACGACCATATACACACTAGTTTGATTCCGAAGTCTCACTCTACCGACTTCCAAAGAAAACGAAATAAGGTATAGGAACAACTACGGTCCCTGATGAACACGGGTTGTCAGTAGCAATCTGCTGACAGTTTCCGTATGTGGCCTCTAAGTGATATTCAATCAGAAAGTAGCACACTTCGAAAATGTTTACCGGTACAAAATACGTAACACAGAGCACGTTTGTGAAATGAACTTAAACGAGTCACCATCGTGACAGAAAACAGGTATTAAGTTGACAAGCAGTTAGACTGAGGGAGCGAATGTTAATTTGATTAGGTACAGGGACGTGATCGCTCCTTGTGCCGGTAAGAATATGAGGACAACACCTTAATATCCACCTAAGCAAGTAATTATCACATACGGTTTGCGGGTTGCGCCAATATTCTAGCGTTTGGATAAATTCTTAATCCGGATCCGCCAGAATTCCGAATGAATAATAAACTTAGAGCAGTTAGTGTCTTGGAGTGGGTTAGAATGAGCTGAGGAAAAGAACCAACAACACATTGTTCTGCAATAATTGCGCCCACTGACGATTTAACACAACTGGTGACGAAACAGCAGCAAGCTCGGCGAACAAATGGACAGCCACTCGACCTAGAACCCCATCGATCAATATTTCGATATATAGCTGATTCATGAGATTTTAATGTGACGCTAGGTGACAACCTTGGGTCAGCTCAATCATTTCACTGTCGTTTGTTTCAAACTAGGTCACCAGCAAGAGGTGAAGGCTACCTGGAAGATCTGTGATGTTCAACGCTGAACCAAATGATTCCTCTTTTAGAAAGCAGCCTGTCTTCAAAAGACTACTGCTTCATACCGAGGTTACTAACAATGATGAAACTAGTCATAAACAAGAACCATTCGGTATTTGGCATTTTGCACGACGTGGTCTCAAACTGTTACCCACGCCGCACCACGTACATCAATTGCGTCTGAACCCAATAACGTCAGATAACACGCATAACCACAAACGATACAGACAATCTGGCATGTCTTAAAAACCGGTCCTAGCAGGCGTTTGTGGTTGCCATGATGTTCAAAAAGTGATTATCAAAACTAGCGCCATATAATAACGATTTACAAACGAAATGACCGAAAAACGTTGCCGCTGTTGAACGAAACTAAAAAGGAAAGTGCTTGAGAGACACGTCAACTAAAACGGGACCTCGAGATTGAGTATACATAGAAATATCAAGAGATGGACATAGCATTCCTATGAAAACCGCCCGAAATACGCCGTCCATTCGATAATTTCCCTCTCGCCTAGAAATATAATTAGTTGTACCACGGACTAAATCATGCGATTCGATGTAGAAAATGATGGTAGTAGTGAGGATAAGTCCCACACAGAGGAAAGAAACCAACATACCGCATTTAATTTTCGTAAACTCGAAACGAATCCCTCCAGGTCGTCGATTTGGGTAACGGATAAATCAGCCTGAAAAAGTGCACGTATGATACTAGGAGTTAGAAACTAATGCGAGATAACGGCTGACAGACAAGTGTGATCCGAAACACTCAACATACAGGAAGATAGTGTGAAAAGCCCTTGTAATTCTCGATACACTCTCGTTAAGTCTGCTGTGTATGCCCACTGCTCAATCGTTCGGTATGACTGATACAATACAAAGATAAGCGTTACCAGCCCATGAATGACATTGCATTAACGTCCCGTAAGTCGTTAAAAAGTGTCGATCCGCTAAACTTGTCGCATAGCTCTGCGTACGAATAGCATGCCGAAGCATTTGTGTATCCTTGTGACGCAACAGAACAGCGGTCGAACAGCAGAGGCACATAAGTCCTCGTAGAGGAACATCACATAACTGACCTGATTGATCGCCTGTGTAAAGTTCACTGAATCCAAAAAGTTCGTCCGTTCCAGAGCGCTCACACAGATTTGAACTGTTTGGTCCAGAGGGGCAACCAGATTGGTGTCTTTATACGCAGTGATTAGGTTTTCCAGTATCGACTGAATGGGCTGGAGAGAAGACGAAAGGCATGGAAAAAATGGAAAAACAGAAGAAAGCCTGGGGAGAATCCGCTGAAGAATAATGACGAAAGGAAGTAGGTCTCAAAAGGTTTAGTCCTAAACTAGGGCGAATTTTACTGAGAATAGTTCCACGTAAAGCTAACTAATGCATGTCAGAGTTTTGAAACGAATTAAACTGTCAAAGAGCTCCAGAATATGGTATCACGTACTATGGGGCCAACTTACCCTGCATTAATAAGGCAGGCTGGTGGTGAAGATGTTACCCTTTTCAGAATACGAAGACTGAATTCCCATCCCCAAACTCGAAATAATTTTACAGCCCTGTGAATCAACGTCTCACGGAAATGAAAAAAACCGCTGACATTAAGCTACAGATGACTGATTAGCAGCGCAGATAGTATTCTACAGTTCGCACACCAAAACGACAAACTCCATCACTACAACAACCAACCATTTTTTTGTACAGATGGGCAATATTATGGATTCGAAGGTAGTGTGCGAGCGATTCGACCAGGCGGTTTATTCCCAACGATTGCGTGTACCTGCCGATCAAGAATGAATCACCTGTGCACTGCCAACATCGATGGTGATCGAATTCCACCATTAGTGTAAAAAATAATCTCCAAAGATCACCAGAAAGAAAAAGGGTAACTGATCTCATCTGAGGGTGCACGAACTGCCGAAATACTACCTATGCAGTGAAGAACACCTCTCGCCTCAGTTACAACGGTTTGCTGCAACCATTGTTTTAAGTGCTCACAATTGCTGTTGGCACCAAGGCCTGTTACTCCGAAAAACCTAGCAGGATAGCGCTTGGGCCGAACATCAGGTGTCACTTCGGTGGACAATCCGATTACTTACATTAAAGATGTGGCTCGTGGGACCCGGAAGCGAAGCAGAACGAACGCACTGAGTCAATAGTTACCGGTGCTTAGCCAAACTAATAGGGAGTAAACGGAACAACGTCAGGATAACTAAGAGGCATGTGGTGCAAAAAAATTCCAAGAAATCATAATAGACTTTAGGTGCTTTGCTCCGCTATATGAGAAACATATTCCGATCCACAAGCGTTTCAGTAAAATAATGAACATCCACTCTAAATAGGCGATGAAATGGAATATTTTGGTGATACGAAGCGTCCTGAAAGAAAACGACTTCTCCGATGTCTTTATAAAGACGTGGGTAAGGAAGAAGACACCAAGCCAATATATTAACAGTCAAAACGGCATTTCAAACGGTTCGAAGTGCGATTCCTCACAACCATGCCGACTGATTTAGGGTCGTGTTTCCGTTTATGCGGTCAGACGTTTATAATGATGCGAAGACTAGATTCACTTAACCCTGAAGACAAAGTACGACAGAGCGAGATGAATATACGGGTAGGTAGTTAACGCAAATGGTGTGGGAATGAAAACTACTAGGGTTGGCAACTGGGAGGAAATACCCCGGTGAAACATATTAAAACACGATACATAGTCGGACTTTACAGATAGTTTACAAGGCGCTTATTAGTCAGCTTAAGATAGTCGAGTCTTTCAGCTGTAACACCCTCTTGGTGTCTAGGTGCCATGCCATCCGAAGGAAGACGGAGGCTGAAACACGATACATAGTCGGACTTTACAGATAGTTTACAAGGCGCTTATTAGTCAGCTTAAGATAGTCGAGTCTTTCAGCTGTAACACTCTCTTGGTGTCTAGGTGCCATGCCATCCGAAGGAAGCACGGAGGCTGATAGTTTGCCCAAGCCTAGACAGGGAAAGTCGAGAGGCAGAAGTCGGGTTCGAACCACGGACCCTCCGGTCAGTAAATTCGCGCTCTAACCAGAGCCATCTCGCCCCCAGCCTAAGACAGTGCGATAATTGCGGTTCCTGATGTCAACACAACCCGAAACATTCGAACGAAAATAGTGACCATCCACAGGATCTTAAATTCCAATCTGAATAAGGCTACTTAATGGAATTGTACGTCAGTGTTTGAGTACATGAAAAGGCGAATTAAGTTCTGAGGTTGTAATCCAATCTTCGATTTTTAGTTGCTCTCGGAACACCACATACCCCGTATTAATTTAAGTTGCACGGCAGCTGTGCACCGAAAGTCCAAAACCGAATGGTTCGTCCTATTGCAGTTTAGGGCTACGTTAGAAGGAAGAGGCTATCGTGGAGTACAGCTAACCCACCTCATGCAATACAGGCCAAACGATTTGTCCACCGCTGATGGCGTCTACGAACGGTTCATTGGCACAACGCGTCAAAACTGCATCCAAAAGCCTTGCACGCGAAATATTTAAGACCACCTCCAAATGGGGTGACATTTCCGAGTGGCTCACAATAGTCGAATCACCGTACTTCGCTCGCCGAAGCTCCTCCTCTTGTTGCCGAATTCGATCTTCTCGGCGGATTTTGTCGATCATGTATTGCAATGTATGGTGCAGATAATCATCTAGTTTACGTGGTCCATCCGGAACTTGTCCGGTTAAGTAGCGGCAAACTTCCGTTTGAATAGGGCCACCGAGAACGAACAGAATGGTGCAGATCAGCATCAGCACCGTGGAGAATAAAAAGATGAAACCGACGCCACTGGAAGAAGACAACATAGGGGTTAAAAGAGGCTAGGGGAGACACTTTCTGGGGCCGTCAAGATAGTGGACTAACGAACAACCAACACCAGACTCCTTCGTTATGGGAACTACGTTTAAATAATGAAACTAGAATAGAAGCACAACTAACAATTTAACACTCATCAGTGCTTCGAGATGATAATAAAATAGGTTATCTGCACTAAATTCTCCAATAATAAAGGTGTGGTATTCCCAAAACATTTCTTGCGCAAACACAAGAGAGATTATTCAAATGCAGAGCTAATGAATAGCATACAAGTTTAGGCGAACCAACGAGTCGTTCAGCTGTAGCACCCTTCCGGTGCCTAGCTGCCATTTCACCCGAAGGAAGCACGAGGGCTGAGATACTGCTGGGTTGCCCAAGCCTGGACAGGGGAATTCCGAGGGCAGAGGTCGCTAGTAACCAAGGTCCTTCCGTTCAATAAATTAGCGTTCTAACCACTTGAGCGAACTCGTCCCCTGCCAGGTTGACCAAGGCCAGCAGTGGAGATGCTGAGATTGGGTTCGAACCACGGACCTTCCGGTTCGTAAGCATGTACCTTAACCGGTGATTAATCTCACTGTAGCTTCGAACAGAAGCTAAAGCAAATTAGAAAAGCCATTGGATTGGGTATCCAGGAGTGAGCAAGTACACGGTAAGTGCAGACTAAAACCAAATCAATGGGAAAATAAACACTTCAACTCCGAAAGGGCTTAGACTTACAGCTAGTTCCCCGAGAAGGGAATCGCTAGCTGAGAAGAAACTGCGCTCATTTGTATGTCAAAACCATTAGGAGGCTTACGCAAGTAGCAAATTAGCACCAACGCCACGATTGCACACACCAGCTTCTTCGTAAGGACGATGACCACATGTGCCAAAGCATAATCCAAGATAGATAAGCAGGAAGATGAGGACGGGAATGCACAGAAGTGCAACACCACCATAGAATCGGAACTCCACGAATCTGTGATTGGAAGAAAAAGGCCTGTTTCACAAAGGTCGGATAATTTCAGCACGAAAATGAACAAGACCAGACTCGGTAAACCAACCATCTAGACGACGCGCACTTCCAACGCTCCCCTCAATGGCAAACTGGTTTCGAAAACGAATCACACGGTTTGACCCAATTACATTGTACTCGGTGGGAAGTACCTGTGTTGCTCACTTAACTAGATTGCTAAAGTCATTTGCTATCTACAATCAGATGTCAAACGGGTACAATTCTGTTTAAAACACTAACGGGTGAAAGCACTTCGTTAACTTGTCATAATTTGCGGTCATGCTGTTCGAGAATCTAAGTGAAAAGATTGAAAAAGACCGCAGAGTGGTTCAAGGTTTAACGGAAAAAACTGTAGCTTTGAAGAGACTTTTAAACAGCGGGCGTTGGGGCAATCTATTGGATGTGTTAAATGGTTGCCCAGGGCCTCCTTGTTATTTTAAAATATGCATTTAGCACTAGATAAAATGAGGCGTACACCAAACCGAGTGATATTGGAAGTTAATCGCAATATACATGAGATTTAAGCATCATGCATAAGATAACCAACAAGGAATCGTGTGTGCGCTGGTAGCCTAAATTCGAATGAAGAGTAGATTCAACCACTAAAACACACTCCAGCCAACAGATTAAATAATAGCGCTACCCACCTGATGAAAACATTTCGGGCATTCTGATCACCATCCATCGTCAGTCGCTGACGTGCCTGTCGCAAATACGTGTAGATATGTTGCAAGTAATCTTCGAAACTTCGAGCCAATTTCTCACGGGTTGCTGGGGACTGCGCTAAGTCAGTCCAAGCACCTTGATTAAAGGTGAGGATAAGAAGGGAGGACAGCGAAAATATTAATAACTCAAACATAAATCATTAAACTTCAATGGAAAGCTTCTGCAAGGGCGGGCGAGTGCTAAGCAGTATTCGGTCAGAGGCCCGCTTTGTGGGATTCAGAAAGACCACCAAAGATATCTCTCAAGATTAACAATTGACTGCCTCACACACTGGATCCTGAATGTGTGAGTGGCGCAAAATGCTCCAAGCCGTACATACCTGAATTTCTAGCGCATACGGTGTTCGGTGTGCTAATCAGGGTTCTGGACAAAACCGAAAGGCAGATCGGTCTAAGGTAACTTGTCAGGCATTTTTAAGTTTTCGTCGAACAGAACAAGTTGGATAAAAAATTCCATGAATATCAAACATGATCCAGGTGTCCTCCAGGAAGAAGTTATACGGCTACTTCTTATACACGTATGTTTTCCGATTTAGGTAGTTGGAATCAATATATTGTTGGAGTGTGGCTTACAGATGAATAGCTGAACTGACTTGTGTCATACAGACGAATTTGACAAAGACCTCGATCAAATGAGCGCTCCGAAATAGAACTATGGATAAAGCCCGAATTACATTAGTTGTGGTTTTTAGGGTGAATCCAAAATGTAGTCTGTCCAGGACAGAGCAATAGGCAGGAGATAGAAGGGAATTCGAAGTAAACGGGCATGCCATCCAAGGAACCAATCGAATGTAGGTAAACCGGACCGCGACGAAACACAATTTCCGAAAGAATCAACCAAGCGAAATTTTCACCAGTCAATCAACTTTCATATATCAAATATGATTAGGAAACTGTTAGAATGCAAGTATATCTGGAGGAGATACCAACCCAACCGTGTGCTGACCATGTTTCGTCCTGGGGTTACGAAACGTTTGCAACCTAATTGTCAAGCTTGGCAAATAGACTCAGTATCACCTGATCAACAGCCAATTACTTAGACACATTGCAAAATGTCTACAGTAGCTTGCAACTGACAGAAACACCTGCATGGTCATCGATATTTGGGTGCCAAACAACGATAAATGGTCAAAACGATTTCATGTTTCGAATTTCGAACCAGGCCTGATTTTACAGACGGATCTGTTTTGAGATCGTCAGTTGTTCCGGAAAACGATCGCTCGCAGTTCTTCGTCAAACCGTCAGATTAGTCACTAATCTCATCCAAAAAGACAAAATACATCCACTTGCCTTATGGATAGGGATGGGAAACAGAAAATCTATTAAGGATAGAGAAAAACTCACGGTCTAAGTCGTCCTGGATGGTTGCTTTGATCACACTGGCCAAACTGTTGAGCGTTTTGTTGAACTGGAATTAAACCCGGACAAAATAGAAAGAGATGGAGCGGCTGACCTTATTTTGGCGGGTAACGTGGGAAGGGAAAACTCACAACAGCTTTATTGATAAGGAGACATTGGGCGTTTAATCAATACCCTGATAGTTTGGTCTCACGAGTAACACTGTTCTCGTGAATTTATTGTACAAACGATACCATATTCGAGAGTTGACGTACTGGAGCTATGCACTAATCTGTATGCACGAAAAAGGGTAGTCTAGAAAAGTGTCCAGAAGCTAGAATTTGAATACAGCTTTCGTAAAAGCTCCTGATAAGGTACTGGGTTAATATTCAAATTAGAATAAAACTAGTGGATCAGTGAACAAAGCATCCTAACCCAGTTTACTTCACCGCAGAAGAGGGAACATAGATATGAGCTCAGACAGATTAAAACACAGCATGACAATCTTGATGCGTTAATCAGTGTTAATACACTCACTATAGTTTCATGGGACCTGAGTGGAGCCGAGTTAAATATACATGGATGTGAAGGAGATGATAAGATGAAACTAGACATTGCTCGGTAATACTGGTGAGTCAGGTTACAGGCTATCTACGCCAAAGCCAATGAGAAAACCGGGAAAGCACATTTTGAGCGCGGAGAAAAGCATACACCGCTAAATCACAAAAAGACATAACAGTGTTGCACTCTCAATACTACCGGATGAAATCACTGAAGCCGATTTGACGTTGCCATGGTTGCGCAGACGACAAGAGCAGCTGACACTACAGAACCGATGCAAAACCATGAAGGCTGAGTCCAGCAGCTCATGTACTGACAGATATGCACACAGTAAACGAATAAAAAGAGCTGACACGACACGCCTGAACGTGTGCTCAATCCGAATGCACGTGACACACAAAGAACTAATAAAACGATAAGTCTACGAATTTCCACAACAGAGACCTAGATTGAGCGTTTGACGGTGGAGGTCATAAGGTTCATAGTTCTGGATACTTGGAGTGCAACAAACTTTGCCGAGGTCGGTACAAAGTGTTCAGATAAACTATAGTGGAGGATAAGTTGGTTGACCGACTGGTTACACATGTTCGTTTATGAGCATCAGTGATCAGATCACCGACGGAACGTGCATAAAAAAGTTCGAGTGGAACTAAGCAAAAATAAGAAGTAAACCTGTGATCAAAAGGCGTTATGAATTATCCGCATCAGGTAACAAACACTGTCCGTTTATAAGTACTCCGGCGCCATTTCACGATCATCGGAAATCCCGTCCCTTCTACACTGAGGAATAAAGCTTACTTCGTTCAGATTTTCAACTTCATTCAAATGGCGCTGGATTTGTTCAACCAGAGTTTTTAGCTCATCCGATTGGAACTGAAATAACAAAAAGGCGTGAGAATCAGAATACTGTCACAAAGAAACAGGATAATCTTAAACACTAGCTGAACAGATTAGATATTAGTATTTTGGGTACCCCACTAGCAGTAACATCCACATACATAGTTTTGTACAGACCAAGTTTATCACGGACTATCGACAATGAGACAAGATGCGAAAGAAAAAGGGGTGAATAAAAACAAGATTGCAACAGTTAACCCAAAGGAAACAAATACATCACCAGCCGGACAGCAGCATTTGTCAACCTTGAAGTGAATTTCCGGGGACACAAATCTCCCGGACCGACGAGAGCACAGATAATTCAAGTAATTATTTAACGTTCCCAGGCTACGGAGTAGCCATCCAGAACGATACTCGCTAATACACCCATAAAAAGCACATGCCTGGATTAGGGTGACTTGCGCGGTTGAACAAAATAAGGGAAGGATTAATTTAAAAAGTGTACCAAGCACAGCTGAGTGCCACTCACTTGATATTCCCACCATAACAACACTGCTCCGAAAGCACCCATACTGGGCGTTCGGTTTGAACTAAATACGAGACGTTCATGTATCTATCGTTCCGTTCACCGACAAACTAACTTGGTGCGGCCAAGATTAGTGCCTACCTTAAAGTAGTTTGAATAATCATGGACAGTCCTCCCTTGACCATATAACCAGTCGAAATCTGTTGCCTATTTTTTAAAGGAACCGTACTCTATACGGGAAAAAATCTGCTTCGCCCTTGTGAAGACAAAAGTGCTGCCGTTGAGATAACCATTGTCTATGGTAAGATGTTGTGCTGTCATCCGGTAGAGAATAAGCACCACAATACATCAGCACAGAACACTTCCTAGTCAACAACTGACTTCCCAAAACAAGCTTCACGGTCAAATATAGGCGGATAATCCTCCCATACTAAATCGATGCGAGAGTTTAATACTCCAAATCAGCACGCGACTGAGGACCGGCAAAGTAGTATACATAAAAGACGTCCGGGTGCTACGAATCGTGGATAGATTTCCTCGCAATGCATCGAACATGATAGACAAGGGAGCGTCTAGAAAGATTACTAAGTGCATTGGGAATACTCCAACCCAAACCCCAAACAATATACATAATTTGGAGTTAGTTGAAGAGGCAAGTCGGTCAAATTGTTGTATCAAGTTGCCACAAGTGTTTAACGTATACTCCCTGGTTCATCCGTCCGCACTTCCATCAAATAAGCCTTGGTGTGCACTTCACATCTTCATTCGTACTCGTATACCTGGAGATCGCGGAGACCGCAAACACTTCCTCTTGTGAAACGGACTAAACTGAGATCAGCCATCATTGTAAAGGGTAAAACAAAGCTGAATCAGTAGTTTGTCCTGCAGACTGTTGTCAAAAACAGTGCCCAACACTGTGCACTTAGAATGATGTGTACACGTCACCTGAACGAGATTTGTGGAGCGCTAATGCTGTCGTGCTATCCAGTGGGATCGCATGGATCCTGGTTAATGGACCAGGTGGAGAGGAGGGAAGACAGTGACTTTTCAAGCCCATTTGCACACATTCCTTTCTAATCAATAGAAAATTTAAGTGCTAAAACTGTTGTGCGGGTAACTGAAGCTGCACATCAACATACAAAAGTCACGAAACCCTCGGCCCTATTCAGACAGTCACAGCTGCTACTCCGAAATATTTTACTTTCATGTTTTCTAACGAAAAGTTAATGTACAAACTCGAATGAGAGAGGTTAAGCCTGGTAACAAGCAGAGTTTATCTCGAAGACTGTGTTGATCAGCTCGATGCGACAATATAATTAGAACGAAGACATATCCGGGCGTTGTATATTACTTGTGAAAAACAGAGGACTGGAGTATAATTCAAGCACTGCTTAGAAAGCTGGGCGCTGCTACTGGTGAAATCACGTGGGTCACAGGCTTCATAAACCACCTTGAAAAGGTGCAAGGCAGCTAGGCTTTTCAGATAAATGGGATACCCCCTCTCTCTCTCAACTCAACCCTGGCTAAACATTCCAAAACTTTTATAACAAATCCGTATTGGCCAAAAACAACAATAGGGGGTGCTGGTGCTCATCTGTTAGTAAAAATATTAACTTTGTATTTCCTTGACAATTTACTTTTGGCGCTTAGATAGATATCGGTGTTCTGGCACTGCTTAAAAGGCAAGTGTCCCACTTGTACCACCATGCATTGTCTAGTTTTCAAACATTGGGCATTTTATGTGCACCATTTATCCTTCCAGAGTACGCTACTAGACACATGTAATATTGGCGATTAAATCCAAATGCATCATATGTATGGGAATTTCTTCTCCTTGTCACCGAAGGACACAAAAGATGAAACGGTAGACATGGTTAGTATTATAAGGCAGCAAACTCGTTAAACAAGCATCGAGCAACGGATGAGAAAACAACTGACCTGTTCCATGGTGTACCGTGTCTTCAGGTTAGACTGAGCTAGATGAAGCAACTGGGTGCATTCTACATGGTTCCCCCAGGGACAATCCGTGTCTAACGTGTCCATCAGATTTTGTCGTATGGTGGGCAGTTCTTGAATGAGTTTGGAAAGGTCAGAGTAAAACTGCCGGAAAAACGCTACGGCTTCTGAATTCACGTCGAACGAGCGAACAGCTGAAGGGGAATAATCCACAATTAACAAGAGTTGCATGCCTACAGAGGTGAAAATGAGCAGTCTTATTTGTAGAATTGTTGATAAGTGAGACGAAGGTCCTCCCTACAGGGCGCCCACCCACAAAAGGTTGCGCAAAATATGGACATGTTCTGGCCTAAATTTACTGGAGAGAAATGGGTTTATTAGGAAAATTCTACATTTGAACTGATCGAAAGCTGACATATTTCACAATGCGAACCTTCACAGTCATCTGAGTGTGTAACCCCTTATAGAAAAACGTATTCACAGTAGTTGAAGACCAACTATCGCCAAACATCAACCGCAACCCTAGACGAACCCTCCAAATCAAGGCTGCTAAAAACATCGTTCGAAAAAATTAAAAGACGGTTTACGGGGATCAAGCAAAGTATATGTTCACAACATAATCAAGGATATTGAAAGAGGTCGGGTGAAATAGTGCCCAGAAGTTGGTGACGTTGCGGAATAAGGGTAGATCGGGTGTGCTGAATGATTGTTGGTTTGTTCATCGAGCTTGGCATTGGGGTTGCAAGCGTTTTACTACCAGCAAAGGTCACATGGTCAGTCACTCAACCCCACAGTGATGATGTTACCTCGATTGGCAACGAAACGTTTGCAATCCAAATGCCAAGCTCGGCGAACAGACCAACAACCAAGTGCCCAGGAACACGACTTACTGGATTGTAATTCAGCAATCGGTGTGAGGACCAAGTCGGCATGTGATTTGCGGACAAACTCTTTCTGGAACTCTTTCAAGTTGCCTGAAGAACATGAATAGTGGAGACAGAGGTAATTAGCAAAAAATCATTGTTAAGAAGCTAAGTCGAACAATTAAGTTAACAAAAGTGGAACCGTTTCGGTGGTTCACTACTATGCCTACGGTAGGAGGCACGAGTGCTGGGATACGGCCATGTTGAGCAAGTCTAGACAGGAGCAGTCGAGATGCTGATATTGGGTTCGAACTACAGACCTTTCGGTCCGTAAGCTGGCGCCTTAACCACTGAGCTATCATGAATCCAACCAGCACAAGTACGATGCAGTGTCCTTATGATGCACAGTCACTGCACAAACGTAGGAAGCAAAAGGTCTCTAGTTGTCAGTCTGAACAGGTCTCGATAGGCGGATTCGAACCCCGAGCTTCCGGAACCCTGAGACAATCTCCAAAAAAGATACGAAAAGGTCAATTAGATCACTGTCATTTATCCAACCACTAATGAATGAAATTAATTGGTTTTCGACGGCACATCTATTCTAGCTTGATTGAAAGAACCAGGTGACCTCGATTACAGCTCATTTCAACACCCACGTGGTCCATGGAGATGCAATGCTTGTGGTGAAAAAACGCAAAGTAAAGGTAAAGGCAATTCACCTTTCGTTACATCATGTGAGGTCTGGACGCGATTCTTAGCAGCTGCAGCACAGGTCCGACAAATTAACGTGCTTTGGCTAAATAGATTATTGCCTTCTTATAGACGGGTTGTGTGGGGCTGAGTAATCAGACAGAATAGGTTAACGGAATCCCACACCCAGATATGATAGGCCGGTAGTGCTCGAATACTGAAATGACCAACAAAGTTGATCGCCAAAAGCTTTAGTTAAAGTTTGGCAACCCTGATCATTATGCATTCAAAAGTCAAAGAGAAACAGCGTGGATTTCCTGCCTTCACTTCATCTGATAGTCTTCTACAGCTAGGCATCAAAAGCCGTAGGGTACCTGACTGATCCGAACCTTGTTAAAACATTGAATTAGACATTGCAATGATTCTTTCAGGGATTGTCTTGAGTATAAGCTCCTCAGAGTTCAGATATGAATGTGAAAACTGTTAGCAGACAGGGTTCGGTTAAGGTTATGTTTCCTCAACGAAGAAACGGAGGTTGTGAATTATCCACTATTTTGTGGCAAATAGCGTAAACGACTTCAGGGTCGATACTGATAGCAGTCGGAGGCTCCCCAGAATTCGGGATAAGTTTTGGAAAACGTTTAGTGACAATCGGTAGATTTATTGCTGAGCAACTTTTCGCTTTTGACACAAAAGCTTCATCGCGCCAAGTGACTAGGTTCCGAGGTTGGTCGATATTTAGGTCGGAAAGAGAACCAATCAGCTAAGTCAAGATAAATCTCTGTTGGGTGTTGGCCGAGGGAACGGATTGGCACAGAAGTCATTCCATATAAAGCAGAAACATCGAAGGTTATTCGAAGACTTTTGAATTTAGCCAACCTTCGAGTAGCTTTCCAGAAGGGAAAAACGCTACGCTCAGTTTTGGTGCCATTGAAAGTTTCCTTGCTGGTTGAATGGACTAAGGACTGTGTGTATAAAATTAACTGCAACTATTGCACTAAAGTTTACATGGGACAAACTGCCAGGGAGTTGCACGCCAGAATTGGTGAGCGTAAAATAAGGATAAACAAACCATCAAGGAATGCAGAAGAATACCAAACGCTGGTCAAAGACTCAGCGATGGCGGTACATGCCTGAGACACGGGACATAGAATAGATCTGAAGAGTGTGGAAGTTAAGACGGGGACTGCGATTCACACCACAGCGGCTAACAGCCTAGGCGGTGGAAAGTACTAAGCATCACAGCGTGAATAGAATCGAGGGTGAGGAACTGGTGAGCGTATGGAAAGGGGTCTTAGATAAGCCGATCTGACACGTGACTGTGTGGTTGTCAATCCACGTGGAATCATTGGCAAAAACAGGGGAGTGGGGGTAAATCCCAACCCGACCACAGATCACAGCATCCCCCTTACACGACTATCTTAGTCTTAGCTTATCCACACAGACAGACAGAAAGTTCAAACGACGTTCAAGAAGGATCATCAAATGGACCGAACCAGAAGAACTAGACCCTAGACTGGACCCAAACACAAGTGGGTTTCCCCATCGGCCCATCACCAAACCTAACACACAAAAATCCGTCGGCCAACACCCAACAGAGATTTATCTTAACTTAGCTGATTGGTTCTCCTTCCGACCTAAATCTCGACCAACCTCGGAACCTAGTCACTAGGCGCGACGAAGCTTTTATGTCAAAAGCGAAAAGTTGCTCAGTAATAAATTTACCAATTGTCACCAAGCTTTTCCCAAAACGATGGGTACTCGGTCACTTCCAAGTATTTTTCACCTGATCGAGATAAGTTGGTTTCTTTTTCACAGGTTCAGTGAACAATTGGTCTTGCTTCTTCACGAACTGGTATTACATACTAGAGCCATAGATTATGATCATTCTTGCGCCATCGTGTAAGGTGTCCAAGGTAAGGTTGTTCGTAACGGTAAGTGAGGAAAATATAACAACTTATCAGCGAGAAATGGGCCGCAAGCATTCGCATAGGTGAATAACTCCCTTCAACTTGACTATTGACATTTAACAAACAAGAACCGGACGTGCTCGAATCAATCCCCACTAGATTCGGTGATTAGACGGTTCTTAATCATTTACAAACGCATCCGCACAGAAATGCCACGCAGTTAGGTTCGCTCGACATTTCGATGAACAAAGTAGGTGCTTGCAGTTGTTACACATCGGTACAAACCTTCAACAGATTCAGAAAAAGCAACAAGACGCCTATAAAACGTTGATTCTCCGTCACGAAACGTGAATGTAATCTAGTGTACAAAGAGAGTGAACAATCAATATGATGGATAACCAACATGGATTCAAATTCACTCATAAGCATATTTGCGGACGTGATTAATGACGAGAATAAACGAGATTTCAAGAGTAACTTTTAAGAGAAAGGCACGTCAATGGATCAATAAAACATCGTGGTCGTTTTGGCCTCATTCAATATGGTTTGTCGAATAAGCACCATGTCAAACTATAACGGGTATGCAATCGGCCAGTTTTGGACAGTAGACAACTGTCCAACACGTCCAGATTTATGACCAAAATTGTAGAAATTGGTAAACATTTTGCATCGAAAACTAATGGCAAGACCTTCTGTTTTCAGGAAAAAGTTGAAAATTCTGTGCGCTTGAGGACCAAGCCATTATATGGGTTGTTCAGGCGCAATGACCATATTTTTCAGTGAAAAGAAAGCTTGGTCAAAGATAGCTATGGTCAGTGATTTCCCATCGCCAGTGCCCTTAGCTCCTACTATTAAAGTGGGTTTAGCTAAGATGGCCTTGTATATCGCGTATACAGTACTATATACACACATATATATAAAGAAATTCGAAATAGAAATGACGCAAATAATTCAAAAAGTCATGCAACATAAACGAAAGCTCAATGGTAGTAGCGGTGTAGACTGTGAAAAAATGGCGATTGTTATATGGTAGATAATGCATTTTCTCACATAAGTGCGTAAAGCTTGATTTATAAGCCACAGCTGCGATCTCTCAGGGATACGAGGATGATTCAAGGAAGCTCTAAACAATGCAAAAGGAATAATAGTGTGACCTTATCAGAAAGGCCAGTGAAGGATCGAAAAATGGTACACCCAGCCATTTCCAGTGCTTCCACCCCCCACCCACCCCCACAAGCACGTGGATCCACAAGGATACTTGCGCCAGGACTAATAAGAGAACGATCAGGTTTATGACCGAGAAGCCAAACTAGATAGACTAAGCGATTAGTGCTGGCAGTGACGAAAACCACGCAACTCAATCGCATCCCCGTGCTAAGCCTCGCAGCGCTAGCTAAACTTCGAGGACCAAAGAGCCATAGGAGTTATTGCTTGTCAGGTGATCACTGGCAAAACAGTACCTATTCTCTTATCCTCTGCAACATAGGCGAGAAGGGGGTGAAACACAATAACAGTAGTGAGACTGTCAGCACAGCATAACCTCCGGGAAATTACAGGAAATAAACAGACAAACGTAGGTAAGAACAGCCTTTTACTTGAAACGAACTGTCTAAAGTTAAGCACTTTTCTGGCTAATGTACTGATCAGGAAATTTTACTCACTGGGTTCAGAAAAAGAAACAGAATGGTATGCAAGTCCAAGACGTGGAAACCTAGGCTTTCTACACTTGCTAAGCAGCCAGCTTGCTTCTGGGAACAACGATGCATCACACAGGGTGTTCATCCGTTAGGATCTGATAATTAGGCACATGCATGTTCCTTATATCGATGATGAGAGTCTACATTTCTATGGGGCAAGAAGATTGTTGGTGAGCTCATACAAAAATGGAGATTAAGTGCTAGAGGGATACAAGGACTATATATATATATATATATATATATATATATATA